ACCTGGGATGCTTAGTTCAACCAGCTGCTTCCTATAAGATAAAAACATCTTTTGTCTAAGAGCACAGCAACAGACTTGTGGTCCCACTGCACAATCTTACTGCTTTTTAAAAGTCATTCTTCTGGTGTGCTAAGCATGACATCACTTTTCCCTTTGTGATGAGGAAAACCTTCCCCTTTGCTGTAGATCCACAGGCACTTTGTTACATGTTTTCAGGTACTTTGAAGGCAGAAAGTACCCTTTGCTCTCCTACAAGTGACATACATCTGCTGAGCAGCACTGCATGTCCCCTTATGTCCAGTCTCAAGCACCTGTTACTATATTCTATCTCACAGACGAACCTTCCCTGCCTCAGAAGTACTCACACTATCTACATTAAGCACTTCACCATATTTATTTAATTGCATTAAGTAAGGAGTCCAAAAAAGTTCTGACTCATGAGCAGACTGATAAGGGCTGTCAGCACCACTTCTGGCTCTGCAATCCAGCTCCCCCTTCTGTCCCACCTGTGCAGTGACTGAATTTTCATAAGACACAGATGGTTTATTTCTCCAGTCAGTGGAAAGAAGTAGGTTTCTGCAGGCCAGCCTGAAATAGCCTAAAATATTCCTCTCCCTTCCTGATCATGAGGGATAACGTTGCATATTTGCAAAGCTTGAAATGAGGTTTAGAACATTTACAGAATTTTGTAACTGTACTTTGCTCTCAAGCAGATCCTGATTGCTGCAACTAGCTTAAAAAAATACTGCCCACATACTATATACTTCATGAGGGACAGGAGAATTTTTGCAACTTGTACATACATTCCAAGCAACATAAATGCAGCCTAAAATTGCTAAGTTTCATCCAGTTACCCTGATGTGAAGAGGGAGGAGAGGTGAGGAATGATTAATTTCAAACTGGCACCCCACTGACAAATTTTTATATATTAAGCCTAAATTTTGAAGTCCAAAGTTGCTTGGGCTTCTAGCAGAGTTTCCCAGATCCCTTTCACTGCTCCAGGGTGGTCCTGCTTTCCTGTGCTGCTCTAGATATTGCATCCTTCTCACTTCTTGCCTGACCCTTTCTCAAAAAAATCTAGTTTCTTCAAGGGGCAGGCTAAGGATGACAGCCAGCAGTACAGGGTTCCTAAATGTTGTAGGTTTTGTATGCCTTTTTTTAAATAAGAAAAATGGGAAGAGCCATTAACTCCCTCATCTTATTACCGTAGTAGTTGACTGCACTGAAATACCATATTATTTTCCCAACAGAACATTTTAGATCTTTGAATAACAGAGGGATAGATAAGAAAGAGACATACAAACTCCAACATGATCCAGTAAATTATATTTTTAATGCTGACATGGGGAACTTGTGCAATGTTTCCCAGCAAGCAAGTAATCAGGCTACCTGAAAAACAACTCAATTGATCCAGTTACTGTCCTATTTTGAGGTCCCCCATATTCAATAAACAAGACATTTGGTCAACACAAACTTATGATATATAGAACTAAGCAAGACAAGGAAAATGCAGACAAAATGATTATCAATACAGTATATGGTATATGCATATTCTTCGGATATGAATTTTTTTCCTGGGTTACCATTATAGGAAAATAGTTGCATCAGCAGCTCATAGAACTGAAATATAAATCTTGCTGTTAAGCATATCTTGGAAGGAAATTAATAGAGTCAAGCCTCCTGTGGCTAGACAATGCACGTCACATGGCAGCTGTCCGTTTCATCCAGAAATAGGGTGCTGAATACATCATTAAAAAAGGTAGGGTGGTATTTGCAGGCTCTATCACAGTCAGGATTAAAGTTCACCTCCAGGATCTGAGGCTGCATAATTCTCTTCCCTGTAAAGGGGAACACAAACATTGCCTCTTAATACAAGGTCTACAGAGGTCCTGAATCACTACCTGTCTTTAAGCCAGAGATTACAGAAAATGACTGGAAAAAGACATCTTTTATGACCCAAGCTGGCAAGTCTGTAGAGTGTTTTTATTTCAGTGGGTTTGGGTTTTTTTTTTTGGCAGAACAGAAGTCTGTTCTACCATCACTATCTAGAGGACATTTATCCAACGGATTCTTCAATCATTGTGCTAATCCAATGCCTCATTTAGAATGAGAATTTGGAGCGATTTAATAGGATCTCCCCGATACAGCTGTCTTGACAGTCAGAAACATCTTTCAGAAAACCCTGCTTCTGCTTTCATGTTTCAGTACAAACTTTCCTTTCTTAAATCTTAGATCTCTACCTTTCTACTTCTAGCAGTCCTGTTCCTTTATGCTCCAGCCACTCCCACCTGCCACTTCATCTCACTCCTAGAAGGAAGTCAGGGAATTTAATTTTCTCTTAAAACTTTATCAGTACAGATCAGAGTTCAGAATCAAACACATTCTGTGCAAAGAGGAACAAAGGATTTTACTTCTTGACTGGCGTTGAGATTGTAAGTGAGGGTACAAGCTTCTGATACATAGGTAAACCATGCTCTGCTCTGCACGGAAGCAATTAACCTATTTGTCCATAGGGTGCCTACAGCATCACAGCCGTGACTTTCGCACCCATGCCTCCATCTTCAAAAGGCAAGGGACCTGTGTAGCTCATGTTCAGCCAGGGCTGTAACATGAGATTCGTCCTTTTACTACAATCGTTTTCCTCAAGCTAGTAATACTGAGTTGCTTTGCCTCTCCCATTCAAGACAACTCTGGGCCAGGTGAAAGAGCATTCAATGTGGATGTAAGGAGACCCAAATTCAAACCCTTGCTCCACTTGATCTGAACAGCAAAGGCTCAATTCCATGCCTCCTGTTTCTCAATCATTTCCCTCCATGAAAGTGATTCAATATTTACAGACTTAGCCACTGCAGCAGTGGGTTAGGGGCACCCACCCAACAAACATCATCTAATTAATCACTCCTCTGGCAAACCTCAGCACAAGTTAATTAATTTCTCCTGTATCCAGAGACCCCAATGTCACAAGAAAAGAGTACACACAGTTCTGTTTAATAGTCCCCCCAGCAGTCCTTTTTCTGTTGGTGTCTCTGCTTCTTTTCTACTTACAAGAGACGTGCCTGGGTTGGGCACCGTCATGGTATTGGCTGGGACAGAGTTAACTTTCTTCATAGTAGCTAGTATGAGGCTGTGTTTTGGATTTGTGCTGAGAAGAAGGCTGATAACATAGTGTTTATAGTTGCTGCCAGGACAGTCCAGGACTTTCCAGCTTCTCTGCTGTGCCAGTGTTTGCAGGTGCAGGAGAAGCTGGGAGGGAGCACAGCCCCAATTACCAGCCTAGGATTCGACCTTAGGTTTAGGATTGAGGCCCAAATTGGCCAATAGTCTATTCCAGATCATGCACGTCATGCCCAATATATAAATGAAGATTTGTCCAGAAGTGCTCGCTCTCTTCTCTGGGTCATCTTTCTCTGGGTGGCCTCAGTCAGCTTTCACACTCTTGGACACTCAGTCTCTTATTTCTGGGATTGTGGTTTTGGGACTCTTCCTGCTCCAGGATCATTGGGCTGGAATTGGGTGGTGGGCAGTTGCAGTGTGTATCACTCATTTATATATTTGTATATGTTACTATTAGCATTATTATTATTTTCAATTATAGTGTAGTTCAGTTATTAAATTGTTCTTATCTCAACCCACAAGTCTCTTT